GGTCACTCTGGAAAACAGTATGGAGGTTCCTCAAAAAACGAAAAATAGAACTACCCTACAACCCAGCAATTGCACTACTAGGTATTTATCCACGGGATACAGGTGTGCTCTTTTGAAGGGACACATGCAGCCCAGTGTTTATAGAAGCACTATCAACAATGGCCAGAGCATGGAAAGAGCCCAAGTGTCCATCAACGGATGAATGGATAAAGAAGACGTGGTGTATATATATACAAAACAGATGAACATAAGGGAGGGAAGCAAAAATAATATAAAAACAGGGAGGGGGACAAAACATAAGAGACTCTTAAATATGGAGAACAAACAGGGTTACTGGAGGGGGGATGGGCTAAATGGGTCCGGGGCATTAAGGAATCTACTCCTGAAATCATTGTTGCACTAGATGCTAACTTGGATGTAAATTAAAAACTAAATAAATTATTTAAAAAAAAACAATCAAGAAGTAAACGCAAGGGATGCCTAGGTGGCTCAGTTGGTTAAGTGTCCGACTTCGGCTCAGGGCATGATCTCGCGGTTCGTGAGTTCGAGCCCCGCATCGGGCTCTGTGCTGACAGCTCAGAGCCTGGAGCCTGTTTCGAATTCTGTGTCTCCCCCTCTCTCTGCCCCCTCCCCTGCTCACACTCTCTCTGTCTGTCTCTCAATAATAAATAAACATTAAAAAAAATTATAAAAAAAAGAAAAGAAGGGAACATAAGACTTCAATCTTTTTCAGGCCACAGTTTATACTTCTTTCTCTTTAATATTACAAAACATAAGCAAAACGTCTGAAAAGAAGAAAAACATCCATGGAGAGGAGAATGGGGAAACCAGTCCAAAACATCACAAGGCAGGAAGATTATCATTCAGGAGCACCCCACGGCCACTCTTGCACTCCAGGAGGCCTGGTGCACACGGCACCCCGGATGTGAAGAGAAGCGGGTCTCAGGTCAGCGAGCACCACACATCCTCCTGACCAGCCCAGCCTGGGCCCCTCCCTTTCAGTTCACCTGGAGGTGGTTTTATGAGAGCCAAGACCCTACGCTGCTTTATAATTGGTGTGGTTGGTGCTCACCGCTGCCCACCATGTGTATCACAACATTTGCTCATTTCCTATTGGACGTGGAGCAGGAGCTGTTGGAATCAGAATTTCTCGTCATCCTGGATCTTCTAGACGGGATTTATTTCCTGGTGTTCATCCACCTCGTCTGCTGATGCTAGTTCCCAAAGGGGAAACCAGTCTCTGTGCAGCACCATGCTTATAATACACAGAGGCCAGCCCGGGGCTCCCATCAAACTGGAAGAGATTCCCAAAGGCAAACCCAGTCCGCTGGGTTCATCCTCAGGTCCCGTCTGGTGACTCACCCTAGCCAACACTCTCAAGAAAGGCCTCAGTACTCATCAGGAATGTACCCAGCGAGTTCATGGCCTGGATATCATATCTTTCCCTCTAGGATGTCAATATGCAGCAAAGTCTCCTAAGATCTTGCAATCCAGAGGGTCACTGTGGTCGCTAAGTTACCC